AACTAAAGAACTTTATTTGGAGGTAAAACCGTTTATAGAGGAAAATACAGTATGTCAGACTACTTTTTAGCAATGTGGTCATGCTTCCAGATCGCAGGAACCTGGTGATTGCAATGTTATTATACCTGATAAGAAAGTATAAAAATAAGATCCAAGTTGTAATGGACTGGAATCATCCTTTAAGCCCTTGAAAACACAGTTTAGATCCTCTGTATTTTGGAGACGTTGAATGACAGATCGCATTTGCATTTGAGATTAAACGATTGCATTACTGTACCTGTTTAAAGCTGAGCAGTGAATCCTTCGTGCTGATGTCTCGTGGGCTCAAGTCAAAACAGCACCAGAGGCCTGGTATAGCATTCTCTTTTCTTTAAACCCAACGGGGGAACAAACCGAGTCAGCTCTGGCAGCGAGAGGAAACATTGCCGTGGTGATTCTGATGACCTTTGACCTTAGTTTAGCGGCTTTGGCTCCTTGCCAGACAAGCCACTCGGTCCTGTGCGTATGGGTTGAGGAATGCGCTGGACTGCAGCGAGCTCATTAAACAGTGCAGTGAGTGAGGGGTGAAGGCCCGTTGTTTGCACTGGCTTGCCTTCTCAGGCCCTGCAGCTCTTTGTGTACCGATAGATCTCCAATCCCAGAGCCCTGGACGGTCCTGGGACACTGCTGGCACCAGGACAGTGTGTATGAACCATTATGTGTGTGTGGACACAGTGAAAACTGGTCACCACTTTTCTTGCAGCATACACAACTATCCTCTTATTGTGCATCCATTAGACATATGCATGCTGTTGCAGATGCACCGCTCGCCTTTGACTTGTGCAGCGAAACGAGATATTTCACGGTTGTTCTCCTTCCAAGGCCTGAAGTGTGAGCACATCTGTGAGAGAGGCCTGGTCCGTACCCAGTAACCTTGAAGCGTAAGTCAGCAGTTTAAATAGCTTGTTCCAGTTTCAGCAGCGTGCAGCTTTCTGAGCAAACGTTCCTTTTTTTTCTCCTCTCCTCTGCTTTTGCTTTGTTTTGGCACTGACGGAGAGGGAAGAGGAGGGGGAGGAAAGGCCAGAGATCAGACACAAATCATCTCGTGGTACTCTGCACGTGAGAACGGTCAGGTGGTCATCTCCCCGCAGACATGACTTCGGAGCAAATCAAATTGCAGATTTACTATTAAATCCTCAACTGCAGAGAAATTGCAGGCTGTTTTGTTTTTGCAGCTTTAGCAATTTTCATTTTTAGCATAGTCACGAAATGCTAAAAAGCAGCTAAAATGCTGATGTCATGCCATAATAGTGCTTTTTTAAAAATTTTTTTTTTACTATTTTTGAGAAATCTGCTCTCAGTAACACTTTTTAAAAACACATCCTATGAGTATTAACTTATACTTACCTACAAAACCTTATGTGACACCACACCAATAGTCACACACTGTGACACTGTTCATGACTGGAATATCAAAAGACAGTACTATTTACAACCCAGACAAATTGGAAAATTTGATGTGATTCAGAACCATGTGGACCTGGTGGTGCGAACTGTCTGCTCTCCTTCATAGACACAACATTCGCGTTCATCCCACTTTGTATGGCTGTTTCAAGCAATCTGATAAACATTGCGTGACCAGGGCTTGGTTAAGGAATAACAAACGTGAGTGAGAGAGGGTCCTAACCCCCACTCCAAACTGGCGGTGCACTCCTGAAGAAAAATAGCGAGCGTGTCTCTCGGCTGCTACGAGGGAGCTGTCAGGGACATGCTGCCAGGTTTAAGTAGGTCCTGTCTTATTGATATGCATCAGAAACTTGAAGCTTTTCTTTTGAAGTGACAGAATTGTTAAAGTGGATTGTTCTCAACAATTAAAGAAAGAGCTAGTTTGACGATTGCTGCATTGGATGTAAGGAGTGAAATGTGCCATCTTTAATACTTAGATTTGTGTTTGAGTTTTTATTTGAAACTGGTAACGTGACGGAAGTAAAAACAACATAAAATAGGACAAGTTGTATTACTACACACAAAACAACTTTAAAAAAGTTCAAAATAGTTAAAACAAGCCATGTGTCTTCACTGTCACCAGTTTGTAAATTGCACTTCCATAACGATTTTCAATATTAATTCTATGCATATTACTTTAGGTTTATACCAAAATTTTTGATGGCTATAAGAAAAGTTTCTTTCCTTGTATAATGTGTTTCCAAAATACGTTAGTGAACATTTGTTAGGAATGGCATATTCCATATTATCCTTTACAGTTGTATTGTCATTGTTCCAGAAAGGTTTTCATTTAGTGCAACTCCAGAAAAACTCCAGGTCACCACGGTTGTTGAGTGGCAGGTTGTCTGTTTCTGATTTAGGGTGTAATGAAAAGAAGTGGTATTTCTGAAGGCTTGAATACCAAACAGTCATTTTTATTTTTATGTGGTAAAAGCAATGGTCAAAGCGCATCTGTGCACATTTCTATCCTCTGCATGCCAGGTAAAATATGTGGTGAGCATACAGGTGGGGCCTGTGATAAATAAGTCAGTAAAAAGGCCAAAGTTTTCTTGGGGGGGGGGTAGGTAGCCAGGAAAAGTATTTGGGGAACGCCTTGTTTTTGTTTTTCATTACAAGAGAGGGAGAGAGGGGGGAGAACGGGGTGCAAGATGGTTGCCCATTGGCTCAAGTTACCCTTTGGATGATGTGTATGGAGCGCTGCCTAGTGCAGCTGAGCACACTGCACTCAAAGAGGCCTTTTTTCAACCCAAGAGAAAGTCATCCACAAACTCGGACCCCTTTCCCTTCCAAAAAAACACTCCTCTCCCCCCTCTGCTGCAGACCCCCAGCTCCTTCCTGCCCTGCTTCCCCTGGCCGCAGTCCAAGTGCTTCATGTGGCTCGACTGGGGCAGGTTGGAGGTGGGCCCCCACCCCTGCCCTCAGAAGACACTTGTTTTCCAGTGGGATGAGGGTGTGTTGGTGTTGGCAGGGTGGAGCAGAGGGGTGGAGGGGTTCAGCTGATGCGGGGGAGTTGGAATTGCCCCCTGGGAGAGGAAGACATAAAAGAACCGGAGCACTTTCGCACGCCCTAGTTTTGGGAGCGCCTGTATGCACCTGTACAGAGGTAGAGATGGTTTAAAGGGCACTTTTGATAATTCTTTTTATATATACTTATATACTATTACAATCAAATCCCAGGAAATTAAAGATGCAATTATCATTTGGAACTTTGGATTATTATGTTTAGTCACTGAGACTCTCTTGTTGCCCACAATCCGTCTCTGACTGACCTCTGAGTGAAACAGACGGGGCTAGTGAGAGGGTCTTACCTAATGTGAAAAACACAGGCTACGCCCTTCCTGAAAAAGAAAAAAAAAAATAACAGGGAAAAGATTGTGTATGTGTGCATGTGTGAAGTGTATGTACTAGCTGTGCAGTCCTGTGTGCTCGGCTCTGCAACCAACCCGAGAGAGCTTCATTTTCTCTGATTAGGTTTATTGTGGTTGCGGCGATGGCCAGTAGAGACCTTGCATTGTTGAAGTTTGTTTACCGTTCAGACAGAGTTAGCCAAAGGAACGGGAGAAAAGGGGGAAGGCTAGCTCAGAACAAAGAAACGGTTCATGGACAAGCTTGACTAATGGACGATTGAAAGGCCTTTATGAACAAATTTGAATGGACCAAGGACAGTCAGGGGAGGTAATCTGCTGATAAAAAATATGTGAATAAAAGCAGTTCTTTGAAATAATGTACAATATCCATGCAGAGTCAGTCAGTGTCCACACATAGATTAACTTCTTGTGACTATCGCTGAATTAACATCCAAATGCTGCATCCAGTGAGCTGTTTTCTCGTGGATCCAGGGTTGTTGCCCCGTCGGGCTTTGGCAGGGATGCAGGCTTTTTCCCGGGGGGGCCACAATTTGTGTCTTGAGTAACCAGAACAAAATGAGAAACTTTTGGTCAATAATGATTATTGCATCCGGTGGTTTAAGGTCTCTCCCTCAGTTTTAGGGTATAGCGAGGTTTCCATCTGGTGAAATAAATTGCTGATATGGACAATGGTAATGCACCACAGGCAGACAAAAAGAGTAAGATAAAGCGTTCTTTTCTAAAAAAAACAGGAAAGTCTCCAAACCACAGCCCCAATTGGCTCTTTGAATGTGTGTCACATGTGGGTGGACAGTGAAAAAAACAGCTCTTATTGTTGAGCAAAGATGTAACTGCTGAGGCACTCTACTTTACGTAATATATCTATGGCGACAAGTTGCCACATTTCTCTCCATAATAGACCTTTTTCAGAGGAGAAATGTTGACATGAAATTATAGGGTAAACACAGTTGTTATGATGATACTTATTAAGGTTCCGTTCCATTAAGTGTATTAAGAGCATTTCCAGTGAGCCAGCGTGTGCAATAGTGGCACTCTGACTTTGTTTGACCTGAATGGAACTAAACCTTAATTAGTATCAGTCAAAATTCCTCTGAAAGAGTGTTACTGTATCAGTACATGACCTTTCCTTTCTACTAGACTGGACTTTGGTGAGATTGGTTGGTTGAATATCTAGTTAGATGTTATGGATCGGATGAGCTATTCTCAGTTTAATTACATAGGAGTCCGACTGTATATTTATTGGATGCTCGATATAATACGATTAATTAAATTTAGGTTGGTAGGAGTTACACAACATTGGTAAATAGCCTTATATGAACTATTTCCAGACGAGGATGTGATTTCTCGCAAGGTTTTGAAAGTGGTTTGTTGGAGCCTCTGTGAGCTTTGAACATGTGTAACCGGGGACGCTCTGCACCTTCTCAACCCTTTGAATATGCAACGTCTCGAGCCCAAAGTCACAACCTGCATCAACACTGATCATGTACTACTCAGCTGCCTTTCTCACTGGTTATTCGAGGAACAGTATTTGTTTCCGCCCTTCAGGGACGTGTGGATGAAGCTCTCGTCAGTCTGTTTGTGTAGGTGCCTTCTCGCCTTTCTGCTGGTGGATGTCTGCTGACTCACCTTGTGCTTGTATGTTTGCAGACGTGCCAAACTACGACTGTACTTGGAGCAGTTGAAGAAGCTGGTGCCTTTAGGTCCAGACAGCACGAGACACACCACACTGAGCTTGCTGAAAAGGGCCAAGATGCACATCAAGGTACTAAAAAAGGAAAAGAAAAAAACCCCACAGCTGAATGAAAAAATAAAATGCTCTAGTCGTGTTCACAACATGTCTGATTGTTTTGTGGTTTTCGTGACTCTTAAGTTAGCCTTTCAGAGCTATAATTTATTAGTTGTTCGACAGATAAATGACAGCAATTTTGATTACCGAGCAATTTATTGAGCAAAAATGCAAAACATTTGCTGGCTCCACAATGTCAGATTTTAGTATTTGTTGCTCTTTTGTGTCTTATATCACTGTAAAATTGTATGTCTTTGGTAAGACAAAACCAGCAATTAGAAGAGGTTACTGTGGGCTCTTTAAAATTATAAATGCCTTTTTTTTCAGACCTTTTTAGACTACTCAAACAATCAATCAAAAAAAAAAATCAGAGACAAAATATTTGTTGTAGCTCTTGTGTAGAGTAAAACTAGAAGAATGTCTCCACAAAAAGTCCAGTTCGTCTTTCATTTGAGCATTTCAACTCATGCTCTACCTCTTTTAGCTGTTTGGTTTTCTCTTTAAGTGTTATATTGTTTCCTAATCTTTCAATCAGAGCGGTTCAGGGCCTGCCAGACAAAATTGCTCCCAAGACTGAAAAGGAAAAGAAAAAAAAACACTAACAAATGAGTCAACAACATGGAATATACAGATCTTTGGTGGCTGATCTGTAGATATGTAAAAGGAGATAATTGGATGTTAGGTTTGTGTAACTCCTCCTCCCATGGTCCATTAACTGTTGCAGCTCACACACACTTAGAAATATCTTAGACACTTTTTAAAAAAAAAGCATGCAGCAAGAGCAATGACAGAGAAGAGCTTAAAAAAAACATCAGTCATATTCTTTGATTCTTATGGTTGCCATGTAATCGATGAACTGTAACTGTAAGTACAGTTTAGGACACGCTGTACTGGTCTCGCTGTTTACAAGCAGCAACAGTGTGGTCGGTGGAAAATCCAGACGTAGCGAGTTTTAACCCTTCATTTCCTGTTTATCGTGCATGTCCTCTCTGCTCAGATGAATTCCGCTAATTCTCGTCAATGTGTTGTGTCTTCTCGTATCACAAGAGGCCACGTGTGTTGAGACTTCGCTTTGATTCACCACCGAAAACTTTCATATGCAAATGAGTGCAAAAATCTAATCCCACATTGAGTCAAACCTTTTACCAAAGTTGATGTTTATTTTTATTTTCTAACCTATAAACCTCATGCAGTCACTCGGGCCACTTCCTTAATACATGTTGAAATTTGTTGTTGTTAAATACTCTCCTTTTGTATCCTTGGCAGAGGTCTGACTGGCAAGAGATGATAGAAAAGAAAACTGGTTTTGCTTTCACATATATGTGTGATAACATCAGTAACAGCATCTAGCATTCGAGCAAAGATCCACTGTATCCAACATCAACAGTAATTCTAAAAATAAGAAAGAAGAAAATCTTCTATTGTTTATCGATACTCTTTGTTATCTTTTACTGCAAATCAATACTTAAAAAAGAGCTTATTTTATAGAGTTAAATAGAACTAAGAAGAAATGTGTTTCATAGGTAGCTTTTCTGTTGTTAGCCTCAATTGGGTGTATAAACATGTACTTTTTTCTTTTATTAACGAACATGCATAGTATGTAGAGTGCAGCAATGTCTTGTCTCTTTAAAAAATGCTGGGAATAGTCATTTATACACTGTATTATTGTGTGCCTTTACTACACAGCAGCCAAAAGGTCAATAAGTTTTGGGTTCCTCTTGCAAAGTAAAGCAAAACACATTACGAATGAAAGAAAAAAATAGAGCAGAAAGACATTTCCCGCAGTGACCTTTTGGGGGGGAATGTATATTATCTTTATGGTATAACAAAAAAAAAATACTGTTAAACCGTTAAAAGACAGGTATGAACATTGTCATTGATTCTTGCCATTTCCATGTGTCTCTGCAGAAGCTGGAGGAGCAGGACAGGAAGGCTTTAAACGTGAAGGAGCAGCTGCAGAGAGAGCACCGCTACCTCAAACGCCGCCTGGAGCAGCTTTCTGTGTCCGGATCTGTAGAGCGCATCCGCACTGACAGCATGGGCTCTACCATCTCCACCGACTCCGAGCAAGGTATGCCGGCTTTAAAAAGTAAACCAGCTGTGCGTAAGTTTCTCGACTGGATTCAGATGTGTGTGCCATATTCTGAAATGCTTTAACTGGCAATGTACATGTAGAAGTCACGCAATGTGCAGCTCTGCTCTGTATTGTGTGGACAATCCTGAGCGTTGTTGTCGTCAGGGCTTTATGTTAACTATGTAAATCAAATGTAGATCACCTTGATATTTGATGCAAATCTATAACGACCAAGGTATGGCTCAGGCTGAGGTTGACACGTACGCCTGTATACCCTGAAGCTATATATGTTTGCAAATAGCTCAGCACAACACTATGAGTGCTTTCATGTGCAGTGTAAACCCAGTCTGAGCTGTTTGGCTGTTTACATTTCTCTCGCTGCCTTGTTTGCAGGCGATGCCCCCAGGGTCAGAGGTTAACGCCTTGCATTGCAGATTAGGAAATCTAGCACTGCTCTTTAGCTACGGATGGTGGGAGACTTCATGTCATGTGGTCTACCGTGCGCTTGTGCAGGTAGTCACGTTTCGTGTGTCGAAATGTTATAAATACAAACAGTAATGTGTATTCTCTCAGGTCGGGGCCATGATCTCTTGTCCACTACTGCGGGTTCTATTTGAATGCTGTTTCCCTGAAACCCCAGCCAATCTCACGAGACTCAAGGCACCAGTATACTCCATTAGAAGTGCTTGACAGTCAGTCGAACAGTCGTCGGAATTAGTTCGAACATTTCTGTAACTTTCATAAAACCAACTATCTGACAATGACAAATCTGCAGCAGCTTTTCACACTACGAATGCTTTCTAGCAGAGACTGCTTGGAAATGTGCGCCGGTATCCGCATATTTAAAAGATTTATCTTCTCTGAGGTCGCCTTTGAGTGTGGCCGTTCATAACAGCTACAAACGCTTTTGATGTGGTCGGACAACATCGTCGTATGATCTGGTTCACCCGAGTTTAAAGGTGCTACGTGTTGCTCACCAGTGTCACATACTCCCCTGAAAAATGCTTTGCTCGGACTGTTACAGTATGTTTGCTAATCCTGGATGAGGTAAACACACATGCAGTTGTTTATCAATGGATGGGGATTAGCTGTGGGAGCACAAAGATCTGCCTGTTTGCCCAGAGTTAATGGTTGCCTAAATCCGTGTTTAATCCACAGGCGCAGCAGGCAGCCTAATAAATATGTCCACAGTTGGGTGGAAATAAACAGTTTCCCCCTCTCTTGTTCTGTTTTTGAGCAGCACCGAAAATAACCTGCCGTATTTTTTTCTTTTTGCGTGCAGAGGTGGACATTGAGGGTATGGAGTTCACCCCCGTCGAGGCGGACAGCGTGGACAGCATCAGTGACGGTGAGGAGGAGGAGGACCACTACAGCCTCCAGAGCAGCTCCAGTGACACCAGCTACACAGCAACACATTCCCACAGACTGCAGCCACACCACTGTTAAGACACCACGCGGCCATCCATCTCTCTGCCAGCTCCCCCCCTCCACTGACCATTTTGCAGTCGCCAACGCCGCCCACTACCTACATCAGATCAGTCCACAACGGCGGTACACCCTGAACATGATCCTTCTTTTCCTGGCCCTGGCTCTCCAGGAATCACATGGGGCTGAAATGCCACTCAAGCCTTCCTGACCCCCCTGACCACTGACCCTACCTCACCCTACTGTATCCTGCCTGAACCCTCCCCCCCCCGCCGCCCTCCCACTGCCCTCACAACCCCTACCTAGTGTTGCCGCAGGCTCAGAGAGACCAGAGCAGAATTTGTGGTTTTCAGTGGGGACTTTTGTGATGTGGTGGAGAGCTTTGACTTGTTAATCAGGATTTTGTAAAGTGCGTGTTTATGTGTGTGTGTGTGTGTGTGTGTGTTTGTGTGCAAGAGAGAAAGACCAAGCGAGGGAGTTTAAGAGAGGTCAAAAACAAAATATAAGCTTCATGTAATCTCTATGAGGCAATAAGACGGACGAGGCTTAGCACTAAGTTTGTGATGTAAAAGGTGAAGCACTTCTGTTCATTCTGCAATATATAACACAAACAAACAAACAAACTGTTACTAACATCATAAAGTATCTTTCCTTTACATGGTAAGATTTACAGGAGTAGCTATTGCAGATGTCCTGCACGCTCCTTTGAAACGTTTGACTGTTGAAAAAAGCGTTAAAGATTAAAGGAATAGTTTGACATTATGGGAATTATATTTATTCGCTTTCATGCAGAGAGATGAGAAGATTGACACCACTTTCATATCACTGAAGCTAGAGCTAGTAGCCGGTTAGCTTAGGTTAGATTAATACAAAAAAGAGGATATATAGAAAAGGGAATGAGTTAGCCTGACTTCGTCCGAAGTTCAGAAATATGCTCACCAGGACCCAGAAAGCTCACGAATTCACATGTTATATCTTGTTTGTTTAATCTGTAGACAACGAGAAGTGAAACAACGACTTTATATGGATTAAACAAGCTAGATTTAACTTTGTTAATTTACTGGGCTCCTGAGGTGCTGGTGTGCAGATATATTCAACTGTTGGACGGAGCGAGGCTAGCTGCTTCCCCATCGTTTCCAGTCATTGCGCTGAGCTAAGCTAACCGACTGCTGGCTGTAGCTTCAGATTTAGCGAAACAGACACGAGAGAGGTGTCGATCTTCTCATCTAATTTCCCAAAATGTAAAAACGATTCGTTAAATCTTTCCACTTTTTAGGACCGTGCCAATGTGCAGCGGTGCTTCTGCAACTGCGCGACCCGCAATTGGACTTCCAACAGCTAATTCTGTGGATCTTCGTTACCAAATGTGGCCGATTTTTGGCCAAAGACAAACTTAAAAAGTTACAGAGCTGTAGCAGAGAAGAAAGAATGTATATATGTACAGTTACAACCCCTCATGTCTCCCTTTGGTTGGGTTGCCTAACCACTACTCCACACTACTGACCACTACACTATACCACCCTATGGTGTGGATGGAATACTATGTCAAATAGAAAAAAGGAGTTGCCTCAGAACTAAAACTCTATTCCTTAAAGATTGATTTGAATCTTGTATTTCCTCAGTAGCGAATTGATGTAGCAATAAATACAAGAGGCAGGTGCTTCCTCTGAGTGTTTAAATGATTCTGGTGAACCATGAGGTGTCACGGGAGACTTTTTTTCCTTTTACCCTTTTACCCTGTAGATGGCACGCGGGTGCTTACAGAGACAGGACCTGGAGAAAAAGGGGCGGTTCTCCTTTTTCTTTTTTCACTAATGGATCCTTCTCGGTGCTCGCGACGCCATTTACCAAGAATTCACATTTCTCTACAGCTCTGTTACTTATACAAGCAGTGTTCATGTGTGTCTGGGTGTTTTTTTTTTTGTGTCCTGGTTAACAAGTCAAAGCTGTAAATGTGGAGAAAAAAATTGAAAGAAAAAAAAAAAGGGCCAGCTCTAATGATTTGTTGTCTGTAGAGGCGTTCATTTTGCTAACTTAGCTAACTAATCACTTTCAGTTGAACCTTTCATTTACTATAACAAGAATAATAATCATATTTCCTCTCTGCTATCTGTTGCTTATTCTGAAGACCAGCGTGGATTAAATTTCTTCTTTGACGGAGGAGGCGCTTCTGTCGCTCTCTGACCATTTAATTATCATTAGGCCTCAGTCTTTGGCAGTCTTTAGAGCTTGGCGTCCAACACTTGCAAAAATTAGGGCCAGTCCACCATGGCAGGTCTGACCAAAAAAACATAAAAAACTACAAAAGACTCAAAAGTAAACAAAAAAACTTGCATTACAAAAGAAGCTACTTGTCAGTAAAAGTGATATTAGCCAGTGTAGTCTATATTTCTTGTATAAAATTTTGTATTATATTTTCCTAAATGTTCTCTTGTAATAAAAAGACAAAAAAGAGTGAATATGTATATCTATCTATACATATATATATATATATAAAAAAATATATAAATATGAGAGACAGACAGACATGAGGCCAGGCTTGTTAAAGGGAGATTGGGGGCAGGGGAGCTGATACACTGGCCCCTCTCCCTTGGGTGACTCTCCTGCTGTCATTCTGTGCCTTGGTGAGCCTTCATCCTCCTCCTCTTCTTCCCACCTCCTCACCCTCTGCCCCTACTCAGGTCACCCCCCCCCTTCCTTTTAATCTCATCCCTCTTCTTCTAGTCCTCTGGCGGGGCTGAAAGCTTTGATTTCAACCCATACCATGCCAAAACACTTCCACGAGCAAGGGGGGCACTTGAAGAGAAGACCTCATTTTAAATACATTTAAAAAAAAAAAAAAAATGCCCCTTTGGTCTCTACTGAGAAGCCGCTGTTGTTGTTGTACACCGTGTCCAGGCACTCTCCACCCTCTTGACGCCCGCTCGTCTGCCAGTGCCGCTCTCTGTCACAAGAAAAGACAAAAAAACAAAACACACACTGGTAAACTCCCATGGCAGCTTCCAGTCGCCCCGAATGGTCACCAACGGGGTTCAAAACTTCTGGGCTTGAAGCGTGTTTTTTTTTTTTTTTTCATTTTACTATTATTGTTTGACTTGTTGACTATGTGTTTGTTCAATGGGAGTCACTGGGAGAGGAGCGATAAAAGAATAATCCAATCGATGGCAGCTTAAGGTGTTATCCTCCGCGCTCCCAGTGGTCCATCCCAGAAATAGTGTTACCCATTGATCAGGGGACCTCTTGAGACACAGCAATATTACCATCTTGTGCTTTCTGAGGGAGGGTGGGCGGGCAGGGTTTTTTTTTTTTGGACAAGCAGTTGGTTTTGCTTTTGACTCTGTGGTGTATTTTGTTTTGGTGACCAACTCTATATTTTTGTTTTGATGAATTTTACCTCCTATCTGCACTCTCTCCATACACTGCAGGAGGGCAAAAAAGAATTAACTAGAGATTAAAACAAAAAAAAAAACCTTTTTGGAAAAGCTGTTTTTATTCTTTTTGTCATTGAGAGTTTACATTCATGTCAACAAGGATTTGTACATGACTGTTTGTAGCAAAATAATGTCCCTTTTCAGTTTGTTGGTCAAATGAACAACTCAGTACACCATATATTAATGGCATAAAGTTATTCTCTTGCACAGAACCTCCCAGTAGAAACGTGACAGAGTGAAAGGGATGAGGGCCAGATATGAGATTATAATTTTTCAGTGGCATCATTGAAAAATATACATAGCACACACAAACACTCAGAGCGAGTGGTTTCTGAGCAGTGGACCGGACGTGGTAACATTTTGTTTGAATGCTGGATGGATAGTGTAATTCTTTTAATGATGTGCCTTGGAAAAAGTTATTTTCTTTAAAAAAAAAGCAGAGATTGTACCATTTAATGAAGACAGTTAAATCAGTCAGAGTTGCTCTTATTTTGAACCCCTTTGGAGAAGCAGCAGAAGATGTTACTGCTTCCTTCTCCACTGCAGAAAGGTTAACATTTATTTCAAGAAGCTGAAGGGGCGCTTCGCTGAACTCCTGTTAAGTTCAAAGCGTTATTTAAGAGTCAACACGGAGACGGACTCAGTTTAGAAATTGTTGACTTCAGAGCAAGTACAGACAAGGTTTGATATTTGCTTTCATGTCGCTGTTGCACAGAGATTTTACTTTAGCGTGTTTTGGTTTTCTAAGCACAATAGCAGTGTGGTGTTTGGGGAAGTCAGCAGGCCGAGACAGAAAAAGAGAGGGTGGGCGGGGGGTTGAAATGAGGGTGGAAGCGTGGAACCAAGGACAGTCTGCACAGGGAGCAGGGTCGAGGCAGAGAATGCCTGTGCGCAGATAAAATCAGATACACAGATGACACCATCCTATGTCTGAGCCTGCTGAGCAACGGTGCTTATAAAATCAACACAGGGACTTCCATTAAATATTATTCCTGCCAAATAAATAGTCACTTTTAAACCTTCCATGCTGAATGATTAGTCAGAGTTCCTTTATATAATTCCAGATGAATAGCTTTAACTACTTGTAGGCTTTAGGTCAGCATCCCGCTTTCCCAGACCCCAGCTTTTATTTCTTTTCTCCTTAGTTTTTTGCATCTTTATGTATCGGGTGACGCTCTACAGTCGGATTGCTCTACCGGCATTTATGGTTCATCTTTTGTACCCACAGGAACCTATAGGCTGCAAGGGAGAGCGAGCTGGCTGGGATTTAGTTGTTGAGGAAGAGGATGGTGGGGACTTTATTTGGGCTGACGTGCTGTGCAGAGTAGGGAGAGTTCTGTGCCAGAGACCTGTGAATATGTTCCTTTTTAGCAGATGTGTAATATGCATTCAGAAGATGTTATATAAGTTCCTTTTTTTTTGTTTTGTTTTGCGTGCGAGTGTGTGTACACGAGTACCTGGTGCTGGCTACATTTTTAGCAAACACTTGAAGGTATTGTGTATTCTCTCATTGTAATATAATTAAAATGTTTTATACATAAAGTTGCCACAGCCTCATTATTGCCTGTTAAATGATTTATGAAACACTGTATGGACTGTATTCTGTATACACACACTGCTTATTGTTTTGGGGGGGGGGGCAGTGCACTATGACAACCTTGAACCGAACAAAGCAGCAGGAATATGCAGATGAAGGTGTTCAGATGTTAAACGGCTTCCTGTTTGGTTTGTGCAGCTGTGAAACTGCGATCTGCAGTCTGGAATATTAACGGTATTTTAAAAGGTCAGAGTTCATCTTTTGTCACCGTTATAGGGGAATAAACAAAGACGCTCAAAATAAAATCAATAACTTAGCAAATTTTATTAAAGCTTACATTTGACAACAAAACAAACAAAAACACAAGACAACAAACACTGGACTTTAACTTGCAGGGTTGGTTGAAACTGTTCTTCCATGAGTGACAAAATGTGTTCAACTCTTCAAGTTGACAAGTCCAATAGATTCTGTTTTTACATTTTTTTGTTTTGAACATCTCACTACTATCTCCTTAAAATAAATCTATTTTACAAATGCTTAATGCTAAATAATTTTTCAAAATACATCATATGAACTATTTGTGAACTGTAATTCAAGTCTTGCAGCAGAAAAATCCAGACAATTCCATCTTAAAGGGAATGCAATCACTGAAATGTTTATAGTATCACCTTCATCACTACTTCAGCTTCGTATCAACAGGCAGATTGAAATGATCTAAAACATTTTCACTAACGCACTTCAGTCATACTGTTAAAGGCTAATCACATTACAGAGCTGTGAAAACGTTACTCATTCTGACTTTTTCTGATATAAGTCACTTTGGTATCTTGTGATTATCATCAACTCTTCAGAACAGGCGGTGCTGGCAGTGACTAACCAGTAGAATTTATACTTCATTCTATGATTTATGTGCACAATATTAAAGAATAGATTGTTAGTAGCACATACTGTGTGCTGAAAGTGGGAAGTGTAGTAGAGTAGGACAACCAGAAAAGGTTAAATAAGGAACATACACCAAGGTTCGCTGTTTAAATAGCCCCTGCATGCACATTAAATTCATAATCCTTCCATTAGTGAAATTAAAAGTACACCGTCACAGCATTAAAAGTGGTCTAATGTGAACTTTAGGCTGGACCAAATACCTAAAGCAGAATAATATATCACTTGCTGATCAATGTAAGTAAAAGTGCCATCCTTGTTCAAGCGGATTTTTATCAGTGCATGAAAATAAGCTTATTACTGTATATTAAAATAGATACATTAAATATATGGCAAAGACATGAAAATATGCATTTACATCTGACATAGTTACAGCATTAAAAGGTGCTGCTGGTCACAATCTGAAAGTTTCCACAAAGGCAATATGTTTCACACAGACTCAGGACCTGAGATTTAACGAAAGCTGAGAGAGAAGAGAGAGAGAACAGTTTGCTGTGTTAAGAGAATAAACAGTGAGATCCAAGAAAAACCTCGGTCTAGTCACGATGATCGAAAAGGCAGTGTGTTGAGTCCATGTCACCTGTACAGTTCCTCACATACTGTCCTGTCAGACGTACTGCTGCGGTTTCTGTGGGACAGTAGCAGCTGAGGCGAGGCTCTTGGCTGCCTCCTTGGCCTTCTCTGATGCGTCCTTCACTGTGTCCCTGAGCAGCCGCTGGGGCACCTCTCCTGTGAGCCCAGAGAGTGTCGAGGTGAGACAGAGACAGACAGGACAGAATGAGGATAACAACAGACAGGGAATACGCAACATCGCTGGTTTCATCAAGCACAACGTGACAAGGGATATTTGGCAACTGTTGCGTGACAGGAAGCGTATTACTGCTAGAAAACAGCGGTGAGCTGAAAAGTATAATGATATGAACATAGATTGTAAAATAATGTAAAAATCGGCTCATTCATAGTGTTAAAGTGATTAAACTGAAAGTCTGTGTATTCTACCTCGTGCTGCTGCAGCGCATTAGTGTTTTGGCTCAAAATGTGACGGAAATGTTTCCAGGTCCAACCCAGTAAGATTTCCGTCATGACTTTTATGTAAAATTAACTCGGGAGCTTATGCAGACATGAGACCAACATGCCAAGTTACCATTACATTTACGTAAAGCGGTTCATGTCTGAAAGAGGCTTTATATAATGCCATGCAAGATGGAAAGCTGACAAAACTTAAATCATTATAGAACGTCCTGTAAAAAGTCTTGAAAAGAGCACACCCATATTTGTGAGCTGTAACAAACTGCCTCACACTGGATTCAGAGTCTATTTGAGTCTGACCTCGCTGTGAACCCTCAGACTTTAAAGTACCTCACGTGAGAACAACAACCAGAATCACAATACAACAGAGCTCGTTCCCTAAACTGTGAGAGAGACGGAAAGAGAACGGAGACGAGTGGTTTCCTTGACATTTAGGTGCTCTCAGACAAAGCAGCAGATATTTGATAAGTGCTTTTCCCGAGAGGGTGGCTACATGGTGGCAGAGGGAGGAACCTCTCAGCGTTTGGAGACTGACAATAACTGGAGGGAGGGGATCTGGGGAATTTATAGAGGCCAAAAAACAAAGCAGACGTGCAAAAGCAAATTGTGTTAGCTGCTGCTGATTTCTACATTTTAGAATCTTTTAAACAACAAAGAATGTGAAAATGTGCTTTAATTCCATAAGCAACATTAAAAAATATTTCACTGTAATATCATATATCTATATTTTGGTCACCATGCGTGTTTTAGTGGGAGGTGACGTCAGCCCTTACTAAAACTAAATTGTCTCAGAGGTGTAGTACTAGCAGCAGATTTTATTGAGACTGTCAAACTGGTTTTAACACGTTTTCTTTTCCTCACTACAGTTGAGTGGGGTTTTTTTTTTTTTGCATCGCACGGTCTGGCGCAGTGCCCCCGCTGACTCTTGCCAGAAAGTGAAAGGCAAATTCACAGCTTGTATGAAAGCACCTTAAAAAAAAAAAAACTCCATCTAATCAAATCCACCCTTAAGTACTTTCACAATATCAGAAAAATCTACTCCATAGTCTATGTCTGGCGGGTTAATTCGATACCAACAGCGGTAAAGTCACAGGGTTAAGGGTGTTTTAGGTGCTTATTTTCCTTTGAAGGAAATCAGGTAATTACAGTGTAAAAATTGGTCTCATGCCTCGTCGGCTCATGTGGTGCTATAAAGAAGATTATATCAAGTTTATATAAATCGTGATAATTCACGTGTAATTATAACTTGAATGTATGATTTTGGGAGTGGATATTGGCATTAAAAAAAATACACATTGAAGTTCATTACACTCTCTAAATATTTAAAAAATGACACTAGTTTCTTTTGAATAAGGCATTGTAGAAGTAGGTAAAATATACTATAAATGTATTAGGTTCAGCACAAAGGTTAGTATTTATTCGACTATAGATTTACAGGCTAGAATGAGGGATGAGGGCAATAATTCAATATTATAAATTCCTGTCCCTAGATTGTCTTATTGCAACAAAATTCCCATACTGAGAGTCAAAGTCCCCCTGTGTAAGGTAAACATTTCTCAGCACTTCCTCTCAAACATGTTTTGTTATTATTAAAAATACAAACCCCAAACCTTTTAACCAATGAGATTACCGTGGTTTTCCTTCTTTTTTCAATATTTAAATAAGTATTGTCAGTTGATTCATATGGCAATAACATAATTAGTGTGATTATGATTAAGTCACATTTTAGATGCAGCTTCTCTGAAAACTGAAGTGAACTTATTTAATTGATTTGCATCAGCATGTACTCTTTCAGATCACAAGAAAGATGCTGAGCTAAATGTAAAAAACACTGTGTGTGGACCTTTTGAGACGAGCATTGTGTCTGAGAGCTAATCTAATCTAATCCATAAAAACTTCAGTTCAACATCTAGATCAGCTGACAGAAGAGGCACACAGACCCTTCCCCCCCCCCCACACATGACACTGCTCTCTCCAGCCTCCACCGTCCCTCACACTCACCACCATCCTGTCCGATTACCAGAGAAGATTATTTTTAATTGGACAGTTCAAAATATACTGTAATAAACAGCAAAACAACCAAATAAATAATAATAGCTTTAAGTTATTGACGCAACGGCACTTGACATTGTCTATACTGCCATAGGATGGCAAAATGCAGTAATTCACACTGTTCACAAAGGTTTCCCTCAGTTGTATAAAATTTGATTTGCTCAGTGTAAATGTAACGTGATACTTTTTTTTAATCTCTAAGCCATAATAACCTAGTATTAAAACTGCATTAAGTGCAAAACCAAAGTCCACAATCCTGAATTTTTACTTTATTCTGATGTTTATGTAGCATATTGGTAGTCGCATTAAAAAATACATTAATATTAAAATACCTATAAATGTAGAGGTTATTTAAAGCTAGAATTCAACTAGACTGTACAAAAACAACAAACAACAAAAAAACAGCACAATATCAATCACAAGGGATTTTCCTTACTGCAGTGGGTAGAACTCGAAGACCCTTTTGTTAGCTGGACTTTAGACATCATTTATGACAAGACAATATTCATTGTTTCATTTGGGGAAAATTAAAATACTGCAGTTACTAATGACTCATGGCAAGGGTTCAGTTTTTATCTCAATTACAGTCAACTAAACTATGCTATGTACTTCTATAGCAACACTAAATGCACTTTTCAGTCACTTTTACTCAGAGTTTCAGCAGTCTGACTTTTCAAGACAAACGCGGTGTGTGCATACACAAAGCACAAGGGGGACAGTCACTACCTCGGCTACACAGTCTACTGCGCTGGGCTCATATATGGCATCATGTGACAACCCTGGGCAAGGCCTGGGATGGCAGATGGATGCCCCGCTGCTAACATACTTACCACAACGCTCAGCCTGATGCCAATCCCTGCAGTGCCATCAACAAAGGGGCAATGGGACGGAATCACAACAGTGGGAGAATGGCCTTTCAGACAACAGGACGCTGCATCAGCACAACACACAGTTTGTAGCACAACACAAACCTCACTGATCAGGGCCGGTTGCCAAACAAGGCACCTCCCTTTTTCATCTAATAGCTTCCTGTGACGATTTAAATTCACCTCTGGTGATTCAAAATGACATTTCAAATGTGAAATGTCCAGAGTGTAGGATTTAGTGGCATCTAGCGGTGTAGTTGCCAAACAAGTAATAATTAAATCTAGACAATAATCAACAGATTAATCAAATTATTATTATTTGCACCCCTAGTTGTGATGAAGGACACACATTTGCAGAAGTTGTAGTTTTCTGCAGCTGCCACTATTTGTTACTGAAGACCCATATTTTACAGACAGCACCTTTAATTAGCCTGACGTTTTGTCATGTTTATGTTATCAGGTTATTTGCCCTATTTGTCTTTCAGGGGATAGGCTTTTTTAAAGTGCCTTTCAGATGACCTGCTCGACAGTATTTTGTTTATGTAATGCTGACTAGAGAAATTGTTTTGGTCTGTTTGGGCCTAAATTCGGAAAACCGAGCTGTTTGTCACTGTAGTTGTCATGGTTTCATATCCCTCTGCAGTCACATGGTGTTTCTATGAAACAACAAGGACCTTTAGGCTTCTTAAATTAACCTGTTTCCAAGACAAACATGTAGGCAATGCAATCCAATTACAGAGTAAACTGCTTCAAACTATTCTGTAACATTTGAGTCGATTTTGCACAAATAGAAAAAGGAAAATTTTTTTGCCACTTCAGCATCTTGGGAGGGTAAATGTACCCAAAGTGTAGAAAATATCAAGTAAACCATAAATAAGTCAAATAAATAGTGTACAATGTGTCAGAGTCCAATGTTTTGAGGGGAGAAAGTCCTACTTCTCATAGTTCTCCCTTTTCCAGAAATGGCAACAGTTAAAAATTGTTTCCCTTTTCTCTTTCTCTTTCTCTCGTTTCTGCTGGTGAAGCGTACGTACCCTGTATGTTGGACAGTGCGTATTCCAGCCCTTTCATGGCCTTCACCTGGTTGCTCTTAAAACGGGCCAATCCAAACTCCTGGGAAAACACAGAACAGGAAATGGCTTTACATGGGGGAGACGTCTGAAAAACAACACTTAGTTAACAGTCCTCTCTCCCCTGCTCTCTGGGGATATTAAAGCAAGACTGGCATCTTCCACATCTAATAATAACATTTTTAGGTTGACATATTTTTGGCACTGTTCTCACTTCTCCCCTCATATCTTCAACTTCTTTATTTTGGCATTTGCACACAGGCTCCCACGCCTCTGCTGCTCTTACTATGACCCACAAATCAAACTAAGGCCTTGAAAGAAGGATTCTGTACGTCCCCCCAGAATAAAAACAAATGCATTTACTTAAATGTATATTTTTTTTACACTTTAGTGCAGATAAAAGTAGGAGATTGTAAATAAATACTATTACACCTCTATGCGGATGCGTAATGTAAATAATGGCTCATTCTAAAGACTTTTCAAAGGAAATCCAAAGAGGCACATGCACTCTATTCTATTGTACCATTCACATAATTTAACATGGGTAGTTACTGCACAAAGAGGGTGTAAGTACCTGAATAGGTCTGGAGAAGCCGTAAACACTTGAGGATATCCACGCTTCCCTCCTCAACTGGGTGGTGGCTGGCTGCTCCGCTGAGTCCTGGAAAACACAGCGCTCTTCAACAGACTAACAGAGAGAGAGAGAGAGAGAGAGAGAGAGAGAGAGAGAGAAAAAAATGACAGCATGGTAAGGTAAAGGACAACGCTGTGGAACTGTTTCAATGCATCACACAGTTCAGGAACAGAAGTAATGTGCAGTATCGACGTACTTCGTACATGTAAGAGTATATTTTAACTCAGAATATATCAAACCAATGAGTACTCTCAATTACCGGTGGGAATATTCAGGAATTTCAATTTCATTTTATCTGAATTAATCCAAGTATTAACACAATATGGCAAAGGGCTATATTAAAATCGCAGAAGCTGCACTTTTTTTTGCTAAAGGTAAAATGACAAAGCTGCATTATAATGAAGTACTGTGTTGCTGTAGAGATGCACAGATCACAACAAATCTCACATTGTCATGATAATTTTTTTTACCATATTGTACAGCCCTAATTTGGATTAGTCAGGGGACTGCCAGTTTAATGTTTCAAACGTTATAATAACTCTTTCAAACAGAAAACACTGTTAACTCCCAGACACGTCTTGGCTATATTCGTTAATGCTCGGCTCAGACGACTTCTTTGATCACGACCAGTTGGTTAGCTTAACTTCTCGTCGCGTTTCGTAGTACAGTAGATTAAAAATATGGGTAGCATAAATCCATACTGCATTAGCGTGAGCTGTACAGAAATAAAGAGTGTGAAAATAGCACACCTTAGAGCTGCATAATACACAAGTCATGTCAAGGTCCTTCTTCCCTGGGAGATTATTACAACTGCGCTCAAACACTTGCCTCCTTTGAAGATCAGGCCTTTGAATTAATATTTCCTCTTCCTTCCTGAGGTTAGCAGCTGCACGTGACTACACTGAGCAGTCATGGCACAGAGTTCAGTCTTTTCTACTCTGCCAATACAGTATACAATATCAATACAAAGAGAAACTGCCACACTAATGAAAAATAATTGTTTTTTTCCCCATTTGTGAATTGATTTGCCTTTTTTTCCCCATAAGCTGTGCGTGGTTCCAAGCAAAAATAGACAGTGAAAAGGGTCTATTCATAACCATGTTGACATTGTAGCAGCAACATGCACAACTTTCACCACAGTTACAATGTCTATATCTGTAGTCACAGACACGGAAATAAATATAAAACATTTTCAAACTCAACATCTCCCGTATCGGTTTCAGATTAAAAGCTCTCTACCGTTTCTGTGGACAGAATCCATTCATATGTTAACAAGACTTTTACTGTATTGTATTTATCAAAGGCAAACTCGGTATAGAAAGATAGGGCTGGCAGCAGCAGCAGTAGGAGCCATGCAGCTGACACGCTGTCACTGTAAACACTGCGTGTGCCTTCAGCAGCTGTTCAGTGCCGTAGCTGTCACGTGCTGCTCAGGTCGGGAGTGTAAACCAGAGCTAACAGTCATGTCAGGCCACAGTACTCTGCTATATCACTCAAGCAAGATGATAGCTCTAACCACTGCACATTTTACTCTTTAAACCTGCAATACCAGATTTGTGAGACCACTTGTGGGCAGTAGAAACAAGTTGTGACATACAGTATAATCACCTTTTAAGTTGATCTGACAAAAAAAGAACATATCTGGCAGATGCAGACCAAATATCATTAATTTGGAGTCGTATTTTCTGACCACCTGATGAATGCAAGTCCAATATTTACTTTGTTTTAGCCCGGTTGTTAGTATCTAATGCTCCTTTACATTCACTTGCTCCTCGCTAACTGTATGTCCACTGTTTGGTGCTGAGCATTTAGCGTACAGTTGATTCTTAGTGCTTCTTAAATCAGAAAACAGTTGCCTGCTGCAGCCAAAGATGACGCCATGGAAGTGGTGAGGGTGAACCTAAACAGTAAAGTTGCAGCCAGACAGCTTTACAATAAGATGACACCCAATATTTAGTTCCATAAAGCTGAGCTGATTCTTTGTGTGGCCTCTTTCACATTGCCACACGTGTACGGGCAGTACACAAGAACACACATGAAAACTTATCAACAACTGTATCCAGCCTAACATTTTTCAAAAGATTTGAACAAAACGGAAATTGTCTGCAAAAAAGGTTCATAACAAAGAAAGGGAAATAACACAACCACAGAGAATCAGACACCTCACCATGAGAGTTGTGTGGTTGAGGTTCCAGGTGTAGGTGGTCAGGCTCCTGTTGACAGGGTCCACGATGGAGTCTTCAATGATGTACACGAAGCGTGACATGCCGGAGGGGAAGAGCCGCTCCGCCCAGCGAGGCAGCCGATTGGTCTTCATCAGGAGGCGTCTGGAGAGGAGCCGGTGGTCCGCAGTCACCTCCCGGTAGACAACGTCCTCTGTGAGAACATGGGTGCTAATCGATAACAGAAATAATTCATTATTAAATCAAGGCATTAGGGAAAGATTAGGAATGAAAACAGTAAGCAAACACTGTCTTAAAACAACAGTGACATGTCCGTATGTGCATTCACACAGACAGGAAAGAAGTGAAGAGTGAACCTATCATTTAACTTTCATATCAGTTTGTGATTCATTTCAGTTCTGCTTAAAACGGTGGTCCATTTTCCAACAGTCAATTGAAAGTGTGCGTGCGTGTGTGCACAAAATAAAAAACACTGTGAACTTTGTGAAATATTATACAACAAATACCTTTCGAGGTTCGGAAATTTTTAGGTAAAGTCAAAACAAAAGTAAAACAGATTGACAACACATCAACGAATATGATAAATGTAGTTTTACTTCTCTGATGTGTTTTTTCAGTTCCCCATCTTAATCATGACTGAGGGCTCTTTTTAGTTGTAGGTTACAGCGCTCAACATCAAGGATGTCTCAACAATCTGACAATGTAAACAATATATTATATTATATATTAATAAATGAAGTGTGTTGCAAATGACTGTAGCTGGTGAAATATTACATCAAAAGCAGTGACTGAAAACAAAGATTCACAAGGTAGTTTTGGTTTGCCTCTTTTTCTGCTCACTCATATCTAGACAAAGCAAATATGATTGCAGGTTCTTGTTCTGATTTCAAGCACTGAACCACTAAAAATGAAAAATCTTGAAGGCTGTATTGACTGTTGACCCACACCATATTAACAAGTCTGTATCTATGATAAAATGCTGACCATATAAATATTACAATACCTGAATGGATTAGGATACCTCTGCCAAAAAGCAGAGACAACATGGTCCCACGTACTCCTGATGTCTGCGCTATTACAGAAATACTTGACCATTCTTCTTTCGCTGATGTACAGTATGACCTGAATCCCGAACCCTGAGGTCCCTCGCTGTGACTACACAAGATAATGAAAGCTTGGGTGCTGACTCCATCCAAAGTCTGGCACAGTCCTGCAAAGGTGAAGAGAAAGGGCTTTACCACAATCCTATCAACCATCAGTAAGAAGCAAAAAAAAAAAAAAAAAAAAAAAAAAGTACTTTCAAATTATATATATTAGTTACATTATCACATGAACATGTACATGAATGTAAACATACATCATGTCAAACAGTGGTAGCTTCTTCTCAGTATCTCTTGGTATATTAGGCTACTGTGTTGAAAATCAATAAACTGGACATCCAATGGACATGCCATGAAGCAGTATTGGATTTTTATATGATTTTTGCTTCAACTGAAATGTATTTAATTTGCTTGGATAGCCAGATACAGCAATATCTGTCTGTTTATTTTATTCATAGAAAAATAGCTCAACTGACTTTCAGCAAACGTTGTAACAGATTCTGTCCATATCACGGCCTCCGGCTGCATATCCATCAATAGATGCATAAAACTGACTCTCTATATTAGATGAACTTATTGCATTATATTTGATCTATATGCATTTGGTCTTTCTGGAGCTGCTGTAACGAGTGAATTTCCCCAGTGTGGGATCAATAAAGTCTATCTTATTTGATCTTAGATGAAATCTGTTATTACGTAAAAGTAAAATTATTTAAACATCCACTATTCTACCCCCCAAATAATCCTACACACGTCTATAAAGGTTTCTTCTTCCAACAGCTCGACGTAAATGATCTGATTATTACTGTTACTTACGTAATCTGGACCTGTCACCTTGACTCATGGCTGTATCAGGTAGCTCTGGCTGAGGTTATCACTGCTAACCATGATGTCCCTGCACAGCTAACAGTTAGATTAGCTAGCTCCTGAAAACTGACTTTTAGTTCCTCGGCTGATCAAACACTTTGACATCTATCAGCGGAAGTTAGAGTGAGTGACTGTGAAGAGGATTTGACAGCTATCTTACAATTACAACAACTCAACCTCGGTTGATTAAGTTAAGCTAGTGCAGAGTAGAGTAGCTGAAGTTTTTAAACGCTCTCGGCTACCATGAAAACGAGAAGTCTTACCTGAAGTCACAGCTAATGAAGTACCAGGGCTAATACATGTCCGCAGAGAGCCTGCTTCTTGTGCCTCTAGCCCACAAACTAACTCACTTTAACTCATTACATCCATTATCCAACATGTGACAGACAGGACAGTGAGTGGAAGGGGGTCTGAAGGCTACTACAATAATAATCTTCTTCTTCTTTCTTCGTCTGGCTTCTTATTGTGGCAGTCTGCAAACCAACGTGAAAGGTGCATGCTGCCACCTACTGTACCGGATGTGTAGCAGCATGACTTCATTAAGAGTATATACAGTATAAAATGGACAGTAGACGTGTTTCTTGGATATACTGAAGTAAAACCTCCAACCTACCTCTCGCTGTTTATCCCTGACAACAATACTCCACTCCCTCTTTCAGCACAGTAACAGTACATGCTCACGTTTTTTGTTCATGATATAAAGTGTTGCATCAAGTCCCGTCTGTCTTGTCCTTTAGTTTAGTCTTAAAAATTAAATGTTATTTTCTACACTTAGCATTTGGACTCTCATACTACATACCTACTAATACCTACCTACCTCTGTTATCCGTTTTGTTCTACTTTAATCCAACAAAAATGTACATCAATTCCTGTTTCGCAGCAGGATGTGGTAGTTTTTTTTCCCCTTTAAAAATAATGACTCCCTTTAAATAAGTTACTAATGACACTAAAGGTATTTTAGTTTCCCATCACCTCTTTCATCTTTTTTTCCTTTATTTCAAACAATGAAAGTAACATTTTGGTTCATTCGAAAGACATTTAAAAAGCTGAGTCTTGATTTTATTGTAAGAGATGGAGAGTTTGTATAATCTGAGCTTAACTAAACTAAAGTAAATAAAAAAATATTTACAATTACTTGTTTCTGTCCACAACAACGTGATCCACTTATTGTTTTAATGAACTTAATTTAGTGTAATCACACCAAAATCTGGAGACACACCATATCAACCCTGCTTCTGTTTTTTAATTGGATCCTACATTCTTCATTGTTTGGTCAGACGGTCTGAAAGAAGTTGTTTTGAGCCAAAGTTGTGAGAGCTTGCAATGCTGTGATGCTGAATGAAACAGAGCTGATCTCCAGCAGGAGGCAGAGCTCAGCTTTGTTGAGCTGTGACCCAATTTAACCTCTAGCTGTTCCAAATAGTAGAGTAAAGGTCCTGGTATCAAAGGGTTAATCATGAGCATAAAACTTTCCCTGGAGGGATTTTAAAAAGGACCCATGGCATCCAAAAGGTTATTTTTTGACAAAGTCAGTAATAAACATGTATTCCTTGCATTTAAACGGACACTGCAACTATAGAAATACACTGACTGAACAAATAAATACACATTGTACTACATTAATAAATTAATAAATTAATAAATACAATTAGACTGAGCTAGACTGGACTGAACCTGAGCCAAAATGGGAGGGCGTAATGACGCCATGGTGTCTTTGCCGATATTATGTGTTATTGATTGTCTCAAATTAATTGTGACATCATTGAAGACATCATCATGACATCACAAAAGATTTCAAATAGAACCAGTTACCCTCAGGATGTAATTTCCTGACAATGCCCTGCCACGGTCACAGATACGCCGCTCGTCCCGCCCGTAGACGCAGGAGGCCAGCAAAGTCCACTGCTGGCCGCAGACGCAGGCGGCCTGTCCGGCGTAGACGCTAGATAAATAAACATGAACATGCATTAAAAGACCAGTGCACTCAAGCAACTCACTGCATTTTCAATTAACATTACAAAACAAACAGGTGATAGAAATGTGTAGTCTCTAAACCATTGACAATATATAATTAGTGGACAGAATTATTAGTCTGTGAAGCAAAGCCAATAACAGTGTGTTAAACCTACATACTTTCTAAAGTCCAGTAGGTGGCAGCTCCATAGGTTGCATAAAAGTAGCCTGATGGTACTGAATCTTGTGGGGAAATGTTCATACTTCTCACTTGATTTATTAGCTCACTAAACAGTTTGCTAATGAGTTTATAGTCTCAATTAGCTACTAGTTTCAAGTCTCCTTCCAGACAGCATGATGTTCATGTGGTAAATTATGGTCAAGTTAGAGTAAAACAGACAATAAAGCAGCGTAAAGCGTGGCTACCTTATGACCCAGCATTATGGGTGTCCACATGACTTAAGAACACCGAGACTTAAGAACAACCTACATCGCAATAGGTTGCTCTAAATCCAAGCTGGCATAACCAGTATCACATCATTGGGAGGTTATTTCCTCAGACTTGACAAAGATATGATACAACTCTTTTCATAGACAGTGGAGTACTAACCAAGAGTATTAAACTGGCTTCCACATTTAAAATTAAAAGGCCTGTTGCTCATGAAAATGTCCAGGTTCCTTATCATCCTTGTTGTCTTCGCCATCTAGTGGATACAACTGTGCATAAACACCAAAAACATTCAATTGTTAGATAGAAAGATAGATAGATACTTTATTTATCCCGAGGGAAGTTCAAGTATCCAGTAGCATACAAAATACAAAACATACATTAAACATACATTAGACTAAAATTAAAATCCCTAACCTTAAGAATATAATTAAAAATAAAATAGAAGATAAAATATAAAGTATATATATAAAATTAACAGTAGCAACAGTAAACAGTGCAAATGAAAGTAAAACAGTGCGAATGGATGTGCAAATACAGGTAGAAATTGTCCATTGTCTATTATATGTTGTCTATTATCTTCTGTCCTCCCTGCCTTTACTGAGAGCTGTTGTACAGTCTGATGACCAAGGGGACGAAAGAGTTTTTGAGTCTGTAATAAAAGGTTATTAATGCAACTTGTCATTATGCTGTCCACTGGTAAAATGTGCCTTATATTTGCAAAATACTGTATGTCATGCATATGTCATAAACCAAAAACTCTAAAACCCACAAACCTGACAGCCACACTGTCCGAGAGACTTCACGGCTTCGTTCAGCATCTTTTTCTCACTCTCAACATGGTTCAATTAGTTTTATAATTACATTACAAATAAAATAATAAAACTGTACATATGTATAAACTTTCTTTTCTTTTATTCTTCTATTTATAATGTAATTATAATTATAAATCATTCCAGTCCAGCAGGTGTCGCACCACAATTTGTCGAATCGTTCAACATGTGTCACGTGTCCTCTTTTTCTTCTTCGTTGGTGCACTTGCCCGCAAAGGGAAGTGTCCTCCACAGTGTCATTGTAGCTTTCTCGAGGTTGAACATCCAGAAATAAACAATGTCTGGGTATACACCAGACGAGAAGCTCCGTCTCGAGCAGCTTCGAAAGCTCCGGAGGCAGTGGCTGAAGGACCAGGAGCTCAGCCCGAGGGAGCCCGTGGTACAAGCTAAACCCCCCGGTGCCGTCGCCAAATTCTGGGCTGGCTTCCTGGAGCCCAAGAGCCTGTGGAGGCTTTACGTGAGTCCTGATACGCAGCTAACGCCAGCTAGCTGGCTTAGCAAGTAAACAACAAACTGAAACAGCTTATACAGTGTCTGTTTTATTAAAATTAACGGATTTAGAGCTACAAATACAGCTAAATATTCACTCGCCTACACCTGGTGAAACAGCTGGACCAACAGTTTGGTTGTATCACAGTCTGTAATGTATAAAAACTTAGTATAGACTATACAAACATGTGCATCTTGTACTGCGTTGTTTTCTTACATCTGGAGAACAAGATCATCTCTGCAACACTACAGTATTTATTTTACCTTTAGCAAAAAATGTGCAGCTGCTGCAGTTTGGGTATTGTGGCCCTAAAAAATACTAAACATTCTTTGATTTCAAATGTGAAGATTATCTGTTTTATATAATTATAAATTAAATATAGTTTGCACTGTTGGCTTTACTAAATGGCCTGAAATAAACTGAAACTATTATGACATGTCAGTATAGGAGAAGCCCATGTGTTAAAAAAAAAAAATAGTTATTAAAAATAATTAAATAATTGTATTATATATTACAATATATTTATAATTTAGTAAGCCAGAATTCAATGTAGCTGCTTTGGGTTTAAGGTCCTGGTGCTGTGCGTGCTGGCTTACTGTCAGTAAGTAATATGTGCTTTTCCTGCTATGACTAGTGAAAATGTTTTTCTTTAACAAGGCCAATTTGAACATGTTGTGATGGGAATTTTTCATAATTTTCTTACTAAGAAAGCAACTTATTGATTAAGTCAAAATGTATGGCATATTTAAGTAAGTAATTTACCCACGGGATTATTAAAGTATGTCTGATTCTGATATTAGTCTACAATGAAAACATTCATTAGCTGCAGTCCTATTTTAGAGGCATGTGACTTTGTTATGAAGTAGAGTACAAACCAAAGACGGAGGTTTGAAACGATGATAATGACCATGTGAATCGTTCTATAAAACTGTAACATCTGAATGATCTTCTCTGAGTTGCTTGGGTCCACTTTATGTCTCCCCGTGTATCCAAGTCCATAAAACCCCTATATTGACTTCAATTCATAATTTCAGTTTCCTCTTCAAACACTTTATTTGTGAATATTTTACAGCTGAATATTACTCTATATCTACTCACAGTGAAAAAGCAACCTCCATCTTGTGTTGAAGTATGCATCTGTTTGGAGCAGTCAGACTAGACACTGTGTTTCCTTACGTACTTCTCTTCTATTAATATGTACCTGCCTCTAATGTGTATCTGTGTATGTCCTTACAGACCTACAAAGTATACAAAGGTGGAGTTTTCACATTAACCCGGCTGTTGATACCTGCTTGGATTGGTCACTACTACATGAAATACCACATTCTTGTAAGTAAACAGAAATATTTACCATTATTTGTGGTATTAATAAAAAAATGAGGAGTAAACAGGATGCAGACCTATTACATCTGGTAAACAGAACTTAATGACTTGATAAGCAACACTGGAAGTTATGTGCATTAGTTAGAGTTGGACGGTCAGTTGTGTGAATGTCTAAATTTCTGGAATGCTTCTGATTGTTCTCCCACTGTTACATATGCCCTATATGAGCTTTTCTTTTAGTTACGTGCACATGCACATGTCTGAATAATTACAGGAAATTGATGAGAGAGCCATGATATAGACTTCAACAAGTGTTAATTCTTTCTTTAGGTAGCATACAATTAGGGTAACTTGCAAATAAAGCAGGAACGCTTCAGAATAATGGATATAGAATTTCAATTTTGTGAGTATAGTAATCAATAGGCATACTAAATAACAATGTCATTGTCCCCCACAGCAAAGACCATATGGCATTGTGGAATTAAAACCCAGGCTGTTCCCAGTAAGTATGACTCATTTATGAATTCTAACTTTTGTTTTTCCTATAATAACTGTAATTGTTCTTTTTATTTTTTGTATATATGGCTGCATGTTAGCGTGCTTAACAGCCTTAGCAAGGTCCGATTGTCCCACAGTCTGATTCAGTGCAAACAGGCTGCTCTCCTGATGCTTTGTCAGATGTCTTAATAGGTTTCCTTGTTTTTGCATTTAGGGTGACACCATTCTGGAGACGGGTGAAGTTCTTCCAGATCTCCCTGAGACCCATGGTCATCACTGAAGTTGAAATATTTCAATAATTTTCTTCAGTTTTTGTTGTACAAACTGTGTATATGCCAATAAAATATTACAAAGTAATGTATGAGTATGGGATGATTTTGATAATTCATGTAAATAGTGACCTTAGTAGCCAACTTCAGTAGGCTAGCAGTTAGCTGTAAATTACATTTTGATAACATTTTACTCTTTGTGATGCATTTCAGTTTGAAGCAGGATGCTGTGATTGATGTAATGCAAGGTACAAATACATTCAAATGCTATAAATTTAATAAAAAATCAGTTAAAAGGAGAAAGTAAGTTTTCAGTATTTTATGCTAGTTTTAAATGTTTTGATTTGCACTAACACTGGTACAAAAAAATAAAAGTAAAATAGAGATAAGTGTAGCCTAATGAACATAAACACAAATTTTGACTTTGAAATGTAGCTGGCAAGTATGTTACTATAATTGTGATTTGACTCTAGGCATGTTTTAGACATGCTGCAGACTAACATAAAAACAAGGCCTCAATGGCTCTTATTCTGTTAACTATCGGCCGGAAGTGTGCTTCATGCGGGTTACAGTACACCAAGTACACGGTACAACAGCTATCATCTCTTAAAACGAAATTAATAAAAAGTAAAAAAAAATATTTCTATCATGATAACTTGATTTTGTTTATAAACGTATTTTTGGGCGATTCTTTAAAATATGAAGATTGTGCTTTTATTCTGAAGGCCGGTAGTGCTTTGTAGCTTGAATTAAAAAAAAAAAAACTATGAATATACGGTAGGGCGAAGCCAGGCTGTTTGTCTGGTAAACAGTTGCTCAGAAACAACATTCATGTAGAAATGAATACGTTTCGACAAGACGGAGAGAGCTAATCGGCTGCCGACCGCATACGTGTTTGAGGTGGTCTGAGGTAAATATTGTACAACTTTCCTCGACCGTCCTGACGAGCCGTAGAGGTAACGTTAGCCTACCTAGCTAACTTAGATAGCCATAGCGTCCTAGCCTAGCCTACCGAGCTAGCGAGCTTGCTAACTTTGGCTAACCAAGTTCACCAGTTCGTGAACCAACAATACAGCCAGAGTTCGCTTTTTCGATCAGTGGCAGCGTCAAATACTCGTGTGGGAATATTTCGTGTAAGTGTCAGGATTGTCCCGATAATATAAACACCTAAAGTCAACGTTATTCCAAGTATGTTACTGACACTCACTGCTGGGAGGGAACTAGGCACGGGTCTAGCCTAACCTGCTAAGCTAACTAACCGAAAACGACACAATTGAGGGCGAAGATGGACAAAAACAAGGATAGGTCAAATAGCATACAGACCAGTAAAGTATTTCCAGCAATGACATGTCTGACAAGGTAAAAGATAGGTGGCATTTCCGAGCTTTAACATATAAAAGCTTGAATAACGTCAGACCTGATGTAACATTAGGACCGTCATACTTGATATCTATAACACCTATAACACTACCCATGGTCTACTTCTAGTCAGGCACCCATATATGTTACTTATTCTGCTCTGTTTCTCATTACAAGAAATGTGAGATGTTCTGCCTTTCTACAAGATAAGTCGTTTTTGTATGGATAGAGTAAGCAACGTGTAGGTCTTAAATGTGTACGGCTAAGCTCATGCATATAGATTTACTCTTGACATTTGGAAGGGGACAGTCATGTCATATCAACAATACATTGTTGATATGACATACTGACATATGACATTGACACGAGTATCCTATGTGATGCAGTTTGAAGACATATTTAAAGGTTTTTATTATGATAAGAAATGATAACAAGAAAGATTAACAATATGTGGATGACACCTGTCAACAGCAGCAAGTCATAATAATAATAATAATAATAATAAGGATTTGATTGAATGTGGTGCATACTGTATATGGGACGAGTAAGTATTTTTTTGGGGTTAATTATTAAATTAAGCTACTTAAGTATACAGAATTGTACAGGTTGCTCAGTATCTCTCTAGCCTTTCCTGTTGGGTAAGTGTAAGAATTTCCAGTTTCCTAATCATTTTAACCAATTTTTTTCTTACTGTATCAGATCATGTCAGCAATCAAGATTGCCCTGCAGCGGGGCCAGAAGAGTAGCAGAAGGAAAACCTCTGAAGCAATGTCTGCTGAGGTTTCACCAGACTCCAAGTGTCCCATCTGTTTGGACATGTTTAACAACATTTCTTACCTGGACCTCTGCCTCCACAAGTTCTGTTTCCGCTGTATTCATGAGTGGTCCAAGAACAAAGCCGAGTGCCCTCTATGCAAACAGCCATTTAATTCAATCTATCACAGTATAAAATCCGAGCAAGACTTTAAGAAGTATGACCTGCAGCCGCTGGACAATGGCTCTTTTGGGACCTTTGGGGGAGTGCGATTCCGATACCGCACAACTCTTACCGGAGTCCATCGACAGATGCGGGGACGGACCTCTCCACCTCCAGACAACGGAGTAATGTTTGAAGCCTCAACAGACGCTCCCCAACAGCCGCAGGACCGCTACATCCGGCGCATGATGATGCGGTTGGCAGCCAAGAGGAGAGCTGCGAGTGAAGGGAGGGCAGTGAACAATGTCAGAGAGCAGGAAATGGTAAACTTCAGGAGGGAACTGTATCGACGGGGGGTGAGGGTTCGGAGTGTTCGCGATGGTGGCCGCTCCCGAGACACCTCAGCTGAGTTCTTCCGAAGAAATCCTGCCTGCCTACATAGACTAATCCCCTGGCTGAAAAGAGAACTCATTGTGCTATATGGGGCTCATGGCTCTTTGGTGAACATAGTTCAACACATCATCATGTCCCGCATTACACGTTATGACATGGAGGATGGAGCTATTCAGGAAGAGCTCAGGCCGTTCCTCCAGGGGCGCACAGAGCACTTTCTGCACGAGTTTGTCAGCTTTGCAAAGTCCCCCTTCAATATGGAGGCCTATGACCAGCATGCTGTCTATGACTGCCCTGCCCCTTCTTCAAATGAAGACAGCAGCTCCAACTCATCTGTAATAGCTATCTCAGAGGATGAGGAATACTCGGTGGAGTTGGACCCCCCAGGAGACTCCACATCTAATCTGAGCCACTCTATGTGGGATGATGAGACGCCTGGGCCATCATATTCTACAACAGCAGAGCAGAGCAGGGCAGAGTGTCTGTCAGTCCTCGACTCAGACTCAGACAGCAGTTTGGAGGAGGAGATTCAAGAGTTCGGGGCTCCTCCACAGCAAATGAGTCCTCATAACCAAACAGACGTGACTCAGGGTGAAGTTAACAAGGAAGAGTGTTTGTCTTCTGACACCGATGACTGTGTCATTGTAGGTTTTGTTAAGCCAACAACAGAGAGGACTCCGGAGCTGGTTAAGCTCTCCTCTGACTCTGATGAGTCTGCTAGTGAAGATACTAAACAAGTGCCTCTTCTACCTCAACACATCCGCTTCTCCAGTCTCAGTCCTATAGCATCACAGAGTAGTGATCCAAGTGGTGCTGGACGGTCAGAAACAGACCACTGTCATTTGTTGGATTCAAAAGAAAGATGCGGCTCTTCAACATCTAGCAGACACAAAACATCCAATAAGTCGGACAGAAAAGACACTGATAGAAGATTCGACAGGAATCATAGATCTAGAGAGAGGCACTGGTCAAAGGACAGAGACCACCGGAGAAAGAGGAGGTCAAGAAGTGGAGAGCGCAGTTACTCTAGCAAGAGCCCAGCAGCCTCCCACGGCATCGTCAGCACTGTATCGAGAGAAAGAGGTTGTCCTTACTCCAGTGGCAGGGACTTCTACTCAAAATGCGACAGTAACTATAAAAGGAGGGACGGTGATCGCAGCTATCAGTCATATAGCCATTACAGCCAAGAGAGAAGTGATAGAGGGATGCATTACACAGAGAGGCGATCCTACTATTACAGTAGCGGCAAGTACTCAGATCTGCACTCTCGCTCCAGGAGTTGCAGCAGGGACTCGCGGAGACGGGACAGGAGGCATTCTCGTTCTAGGACTTATTCCAGCAGTCGCTCCCCTTCCTCTAAAAAGAGATCTCACCACGATAAGCCTGGTGGAAAGAGAAAATACAAAACAAGACATTTGGAGCAACCGTCGGAAAACGCACTCCCCAACTCAGATGGCGAAGGGGACTCGGCCACGTTGTTAACAAAACACAAGAAAAAGAGCAAAGACAAGCATCGTAAAAAATCCAAAGAGAGATCAAGGAAAACTAGTAGGAGCCTCAGCGTGGAGCTTGTCAATGAGGAAAACTCTAACGAGCGAAGCAAGCATCACCATAAGAAAAAGAAGAAACATAAGAAGAAAAGCAAAAGGCACAAGAGTAGTGAACGCAGAGAAAAAGGCTCACCCACTGTCATTACCATCGATAGTGACAGTGATTCTGTTGCTAATGACAATACCACCCAGGCCAGCAGCACTAGCATGGACACCCCAATCGACAATACCACGAATGACCCAGTGGACCCAACTCCTCCCTCCCCTAATGCATAGGTATATGAAAGTTAAGATTCACTCTGTATGTACTGGGAATTAAAAGATTCACCCTCAGCTGCAAATGCCTGCCAGCAGTATTTTAAATCAAAACAATGCTCAACATGTTGAAAGTCGCCAGACCTTGAAGGATATGGCGAATACACATATCCCTTTAAATCCCACCGCAAGTGTTTTCTACTGTGACAGTTAATTGGGCGCCAGGTTTACACGACAGACATAAATATCGGTGTTGAACTGGAGAGTGGCTATCCGTTGGATAAATAACCGTTCTAGACTATCGAAATCTAGTTTCTTGACTGAAAACGAAAACCTAAAACAGTCCTATTTTTTTGTGCAAAGTGCCACTATGAACACAGCAGAAAGGACTAATATTGGAAGTCACAAGTGTCAATTGTAATTCTGGAAATTCATTTTCTTTAATGGATGTATTTTATTTTTAAGGTGCTCTCAGGGATAATCTTGATTACATTGATTTTTTTTTTTTTTTTTGTTATTCTAAATCAGCTATATTCTTGAGATAAAACTATTTTTACCTGCAGCTCATGGAGTAGTACTTGTGGATTTCATTATGGGTTCTTTTCTATTGGATTTTATTTAAAATAAATTGTAATGAGCAACTCTGTGCTATTTTGCCAATGTTGGTTTTCTGTTTATTTCATCTAGGATCTGTCTGAGAATGTTGAAATGTTGAGTTCATATTGATGATGTGACTTCAGCTGGACTGAGGCTTTGCTCAATGTTTCGAGTTCATTGTCACATGCACAACAATTACAGTGAAGCATAAAATCGTAAAAAGGTGTGTTTTGTAAAAAGCTCAAATGATGTAGTCAAACTTACTTCATCATCATCATAAGCAGTGCAAAATGCCTAAATTGATTATATATTGTGTAATTATAGAATTGCCATTTTAATTGAGTGTTGGTGTTTATTATGCACACAGATCACATGGTAAACTGACATTTTGATACTAAACCCCTATTTAGATACAGTTTTCATAAAAAAAAAAGGTTGCTGTAGGTTTGCTATACAGAAAATGGCACAGAAGAGTACTATATTCAAGTTAAGAGGATTATGAACAGTATAGTGTGTTGAGAGAGTATCCAACCCTCTTTACTAGTTTGCATCTTGTGTTAGAGCTTCAAAGTGGGTCAGATGCCTAAAATAAGTTGGAGGAACAGGTGAAAGATGGAAAATGTAAGGGAAGCTAAAAATGACTTAAGGTTTCTCTGCATACATTTGCAGCCTCAAATAACAAGAATAGTCATAATTTTAAAGTCAAAACACATTGATACATGTTGATTTTTAATCTATCTTTAATTCGGGTTGTGAAAAAAGTGTTGAGAGAGAACTCAACGCATTATCCTTACAGTAAAATGTGGGTCCAGTGTGTGTGTGTGAGGTTGGTCTTTTGACTCCTAGCAGTTCCAGTTTCTGTGAGTAAATTTAGGAGGCCTGTCTTTAAGAAATGATATGCTCTATTTTCTAAATCACTATGTCTGAGCCACATTCAGGCAGGAAATGTTCACATAAAAGCAAAACAGTCCTTTTTGCACGTTTTAGTCTATTGCTACAAATCACATACAATATTCATTACAGGGCTGCAGACCACTTGAAAAGTCTGTCATACATTTAAATTGAATATGAAAACCATTTATCAAATTGGTAGAGATAACTAATGAGTACACAATATACAGTTATGGAATTATTATAATGGTACGGTAAATAATGCTGGAAGTGCTGAGGAGTCTTCAATTTATTACCTAGCAGATTATAGATTGTAGTCAGTTGAATAAAAACCAATGGCTTCCTGCGAGGTAAGTAAAAATAGGTAAATAGTTTGGTTTGAAAAAAAACCCCAAAACGGTCAGCCATGCTTTTATTTTGAAGGCGAACACTTCAAACAGGAAGAGGTACGATGTCCGTTTGCTGGCGGATGTTGTGGCTATAATTCCTCTTCCTCACAACTTGGTCAAATCTTCATTTAAACACGCCACAATACTGTTGGCATGGCTTCCACGATGCCTATTAAGGTAATAAAACCTAAAATACATTTGTCTGAACACAGTGGCAGAGAAAAGTCCATGAAAGAAACCTAGCTAGGTAACGTAATTTCATGCCAAACCTGACACGACAGACCTGGAAGTGCGGGAAAAGCTCTTAGCTGTTAGCATTGCATGAGTAAAGCTGTAATTATGGCCCTGCAGTCTTTTAGTAAACGCCCATGGCTAAATAACACAAGCTAACATGAGTATGCGAACTGCAAGGTTGCTGTAAGAACGCGTGGTAGTGTTAAACCAGCTAAAGTGACCCAGCTCAGGTACAGTGGATGTGGCACGTGGCCAGGCAGAGTGCACCTGCAGCTCTGACCCGTGACAGTTGTGAGCAGGTAGATATTATATAGAGGTGGGAGAAGCATCCTGTCCTTAAGTAAAAGTAGCAATAAAACTTAACATAACTACAAGTATTATCAGCAAAATATACTAAAGATTGAAGCTGAAACTCATTATAGATATCGATAGTATCAAACAAACATTCACAATCAAGGAGCCATCTATATTACACTTTGACAGGGAAGAACTACAAAATATTTTTAAGTGCAAATGATTTCCAAAATCATTTTCTTATCTGTGTTGTTAAGGTTACAATATGCAGGAAAAGAAGTATGCATAGTTAAGGTTATGCTGACAACCTTACACATGTAATATAAGATATGTTGTGTGTTATAATGTTATATGTTATAATATTTAGATATGACTATTTGTAATGCATTAAGTAATGTGTAAGCAGCATCTCAATGTTGTATATGGTTCAAGGTGGAACCAGTTGTAACAATTTAATATACTGCTTGTAGTATAATATGACTGTATATATCTTATTTATTAACTAATGGTAATATAGCTATATAAATATAAATATAGATGTACTGGAATAGAAAAAAGGACAGTATTTGCCTCTGAATTTTAGTGAAGCTCGAGCAGAAGTACAGAGCACTATTGTTAATTGACTCTAAACTGTAACCTATAAATGTACGAACACAAACAACCATCTCTTTTAAAAGGAAATAACAGCATCAAGTCTTTGGGATCATGGGGATCTTGGAGTTTATCAACTGGTTATAAAGTAATAATGATGTGCTCATATAGTTTTAAACACTGTATTTAGTTTAGTTTTTATCCATTCCCTAATTTCCCTATACTTAAAAGTGGTATTCAAACAGAAGTGTTTTGGTCACACATTGATTCTAATGTAGTTGTGTGTTGATGATTTTCTTATATTCCTCTGTTTAGATTGGAATAATTGGTGGTTCAGGCCTTGATGACCCAGATATCTTGGAAGGAAGGACTGAGCGTTATGTTGACACACCGTATGGAAAGGTTAGTTGTGTTTTGTTGTGGGTCCAAATTGGGGATGGCAGTAGCTCAGTTGGTTGGGACAAGTCTAGCACCGACCACAGTAGAGAGTGGAGACTGGGGGCTGAAGATGTGCCAGGTCATCTCCTGGGCACTGCTGAGCAGAGACTGACCAGTATGTATGGTATGGTATGGTATGGTATTGGCCTATCACAGACATATCAGTACCAGCATATATGATATTCAATATCTGCCAATGTGAAAACTGTGATATGTTTTAATACAGGAAAAAATGCATGTGGTAAAATGTCTGTGTCATTGCCAAGTCTATCCAGCAGTGTGCTGGGATTTACAATACTGTGGCAAGCAGCACAGAGTAAAAGAGATGAAGCAGATCTCTGCAGTCAGTTAGAATTGGTTGATAATGTATATGTTAAATTATGTCATATATTAATATATTTAATGAAACATTCTTTAATAAAGTTATTTGTTTAAGAATGCAGCCTTCTGAGTACATTTACATAGTCATATTGGTGCAGAATTGGTGCACAATCCATATAGAGAAGGTCTATTTTCATTCCAGCTAAATTTACTATATTTGTCGCCTTATCGGTCTGTGACTTTTTCCACTCATTAGTATTGACCTCAAAAATCCTACATTGGTCGGGCTCTACAGATAACTTGACTCCTAACTGCTTGGAGCACCAACTATGTGGCAACCCCATCACAATTAATGCAAGTCTACTAGTCCTGTGTGTGTGTGTGTGTGTGTGTGTGTGTGTGTGTGTGTGTGTGTGTGTGTGTGTGTGTGTGTGTGTGTGTAAACAGTGTAAAAAATTAATTTCCCCAAATGAGATTCATAAGAGTTCAAATAGAGCAGTGTAACAATAAGCTCCACTGGTGCTCTGGCAGCAGATGATTCCTTATAGTAGTGTTTTTATATATAATTAGATTATTCTGCTTATCTTGAACAGCCATCCGATGCTCTGATACTGGGGAAGATAAAAAATGTGGAATGTGTGCTTCTAGCAAGGTAAGAAAGGGTGATTTACTTTACTTTAAAATGTGAATTATGAAAATGTGCTATATATTAGCACCATCTAGTGGAGGAACTTGCAATTGCCAAAATACTGGGCAATATGCATTCACTCAATCTAATACTGAGGTGCACGTTAAATGCAAGCATGTATTTTCATGTTTCTGACCTAAAAATCAATATAAACACTGTATAATGAATATCCTCAGGCATGGGAGACAACACACTATAATGCCGTCCAATGTGAACTACCAGGCCAACATCTGGGCACTTAGAGAAGAGGGCTGTACACATCTGTTGGTTACCACAGCCTGTGGCTCACTCCGGGAGGAGATTCAGCCAGGAGACATTGTCATCATAGATCAATTCATTGACAGGTGAGTGGGCTGGGACCACTACAGCAGGTTATGCTTTAGATTTTTAATTTTTCATTCCACATATTCTCAGGATGTATAGAAATGTGCATTTATATTATATTCTTAATATATGTTTTACAGTGGTACAAAATGACAACATGAATTTGTAGCAAGAACTCAATTTAGAAGCTACAGGTATTACAGCCCCTTTCCATTTCCTCCTGCTTGTTCTCTGTAAGCACATGACTCTCTCCATCACTGCCAGTACTGAGAGCAATGTGGATAAACTAATTTGCTGCACACTTGCCAGTCACAACAAATCACACAGAAACCAGGCAATACAAACCACCTAATGTCCAAATTTGTAAAGGAGCTTTTCACTGCTTCAGACAGTCCGATCACACTTGTATAACTCATATAACTGACATTCTCGTACAACAGCCTTATTCTTATTATCACAGCTATTAAAATAAAACATTCATGTAATATCATAGCCTGACTTCGCACACCCTAAATGTGTTACTGGGTTGACCTTTTTGAGATTCAGCGTTAAAACCAACACAGTATGAAGTTTATGTGAATAAAGTGTTTTTTTAATTTTTTTATTAACAGTCTTTAAAATAGTTGGACCTTCTGTCAAAGGGTGTTGTTGGTTCTTATCCTATTGTGATTGTACAGGAGCTCTGTTGCAACAATTCAAGCATCTTCCCACACATCTCACTGACAGGATTCATGTTACTGCCTGACAAGAGTGTCCAGATAGCTGAGTGAGAAAGGGCTTGACTCACTCATGTTTGACACATTTGTCAAAGCCAATATTTGTTTACTATGATGTTCATTGGGCAGCATTGTTAACCTCTGCCTGAAGTTTGTTGTGCTCTTTATGTGTCATTGTTTGCTCAGTGAGAATTTAAAATGCTGAAACAGCGTCTACTGTTTCACCTATGGAAACAGTACACTAATATGATGACTGATCATCTGGAGTGTGAACTTTGCGACAGAGATATTTTTGTAAACATTCATGGTTCCTTCCTGTCTGTCTCATGTTTCATTTAGTGTATCACACTCTCTGAGTTCCAGCCTTCAGTTTGCATTCATTGAATTTACTGAGCTATAACCTACTATCATCTGTTAGTGGCTGTCACAGAGAGCTCTTGTTCACATAAAGA